AGCCTGTTCTGGCTTGCAGCTCCTGAAGTGGTTGGGAGGCAGAGATATGGACGACCTGTGGACTGTTGGGCCATCGGTGTCACCATGTATATACTGTAAGTGTTCATAAATATACTATAGTAATTTACTGAAGTATATTTAAGTGACTTTATCAAAATGTGTGTATGATGCTCTTAATCTGCCAACCCAACAGTTTGTCTGGAAACCCTCCTTTCTATGACGATTCTGATGAAGATGATGATCGTGATAAGAATCTCTTCCTAAAGATCTTGTCAGGGGACTATGAGTTCGATTCACCATACTGGGATGACATTTCAGACTCTGGTGAGACATAATCACTTTATTAAAATGCACATTAACTTAATTGTATTTTTCGTGTCACTGATGATGTGTTTTGGAGATGCAAATTCACTGTTTGTATTTTTGTTTGTTTGTTTGTATTGCAGCCAAAAACCTAGTCGCGTCTTTGATGGAAGTGGACCAGGATCAGCGGCTGACTGCACAGGAAGCCATTGCCCATGAATGGTAATAAATAAACCAACAAAACTTATTTTCCAGCATGTTGTTGCATTTGTGTTCATAAGGTGGTTCTCATGTTCCTTTTCTCAGGATTTCTGGAAATGCAGCCTCAGACAAGAACATCAAGGATGGCGTTTGTGCACAAATAGAAAAGAACTTTGCCAAAGCCAAGTGGAAGGTACTACTTTTTATATAACTTATACTGTATATCAATACATGTTTGCTCATATATTGTCAATTATTGCATATGTTACACAAACTTGTTATGTTTATTACCCATGTCTCCAAGTAGGAGGACTCTCCTTTAGTGTCTGTTTGAAGTATTTTAGATTTGCTATACTTAAAAAAAATATATATATAATATTACCACCATTTTAAACTGCACAGATATGAATATACATGCTATATTCACTGCTTCCAACAACTGTGGCAACTATAATCAGGTGCTGTATCCAATTTGTACATTAATCCATATATTAACTTATGGCTCACCCTCTTATTCCCCATTAAAGGGCAACACCAACTAATATGTTATTTCTTTGCCCTTGGAAAGTTTAATCAATATTTGAGAATGTGAACTACTCTCTCTCAAAGTCTCAAACTTGTGATGTCATTGGGTATAAAGTCTGGAGCTGCTTCATAGACAATGAATGGGAGACTGATTTTGTGGACCCACAGAATGTTTGTTTTCCTTTGCATATACAAACAAGCTTTATTCTATTGTAGTGTTTTCCGTTCTGAAACGTTCTGAAGTGTCATCTCTATCATCTGTCTGTCTGGAGCAGCTCCAGACTTTATACCCTATGACAGGGGTAGGTAACTTGTGGCTCTGGAGCCACACCCGGCACTTTCATCCCTCTCCAGTGGCTCCCTTGGGCTTTGGCAAAAAAATTATATTGAAATTATTAACAGCTGTTTTTTTTTAATCATTTTTATTTTCATTTTTCATTGTTGTAGGCCTTGAGTGATTCTCACATTCTCAATTTAAGAAATGTGTAGCCCATACACAGAATGAAACAGTGTTTTTAAATTTCATCAAATAAATGTGCAACATTTTGTTGAACTTCAGTATTGCTTGATTGTCTTGGAACCTCCCTCGCTAAGCTAGCTATGGATTCCCTTTAAAAACTTGGAGGACAATAGAGAATTCAACAGTGTGTGGACATATTTGTTGTCTTTTACCACCAACCCTGCAAAGATAAAGCACCAAACAATCATAAATAGCCGACTGCAGAGTAGCCACCTTGTGGTAAAACATATTAATAAATGCTCATTTAGACCTATTAGTAATGGTGATGGGTGAATTTAGACTTACTGTTAGCTTCAGTATGAGGCTCAAATATGTTTTTGCAGCTCCAGACAGATTACTTGAGAGCTTTTATGGCCTTTGATAGTAAAGGCTGCTGACCCCTGCCCTATGACATCACAGATTTGAGTTTAAGCACTTCAGCTTTTGATTTAGAGGAGAGGTTTTCATGTTTACTAATATTTTTTATACTGTCTTAGACCATAGGAATGACATGTATGAATTTTTAAAGTTGGCGTAGCTCCTCTTTAACATACAAATTCTCATGTCTGAAATGTAAAACATGTTTATATCCCTACAATTTGTCCAATTTAACTGAGCTGCAGTTTGAAACACCTTGCAAAGTTTATTGTGCATGTTTGTTTGATTTATGCTATCTCTTAATTTGAGCCCTCCATCTCTTTTAATCGCTCACAGAAAGCTGTCAGAGTGACCACCCTCATGAAGAGACTCAGAGCGTCTGAGCAGGGGGATACTGGGGCCGCTGGGGCTGCAGCTGACCCCAACACACCCGGCGGCGCTCCTGCTCCTCCAGCTGGCAGCGGCGACGGCCTCGCTGCCAGCTTAAAGGCTGTTCTTAGTGAAAAGGCTCCTGACACACAGACTGCCGCCACCTCTGCACCCTCCCAGCCCAGTGCAGCCAGGCAGGAGGAGCAGCCACAGGCACGGTGCAACGGCGAGGTTCCCCAAATGTTGCCACAGAGAAAGGGAGACTAGACGTCAGAGAAATACAAGAAGAGGACCCTTGCCAACCAACAAGCACATGTGCAGTAGAGCCAATACATTTGGCATGATGATACCATGTCTAAGCTGTTCGACTATCCCCCAGTTTGCAGAGTTATTTCACGACGCCATGCATTTCATCATTTTTGCCTTCTGTATTAATCGGTCTATTGAATAGTGTTCTCCACTCTCCCTCGTTATTTTGTGTAACAGTCCCTTTAAAGCTAGTTGCAAAGTAGCTCTTCTGTTGTTTCCTTTCCCCTGAAAACTGTAAAAACTCATAGTGTAATTTAGTGAAATCAGCTCACTTTTACTCATCAGCTCATTGTATATAGGTGTATTTGTCTGTTTCGACAAGTTGCTAGTTTTCAGCTTCAGAACTTAAACTCCTGAGTTCGTGTCTTGTGACTTAAAATTATGAGTTGAAAGATTTGGTAAACTGATCATGTCAAGATTCGAAAATCCATTAATTTTTTAAAGTAGTTTTCTGCGTCTCTGAGTATACACTTCAGAAACCATGCTTCTAACTGGAATGCATTCACAGTTACATATATTTTATGACATTTTAAAAGATATAATATATATTAAATAGTTATGACTGTCTTTTAAATATTCCTACAACTTCTTACATAACAATTGGATAAAAAAAAAAATCAATTAGTGGACTCAGCTTAACACCCAAACCAGATATCTGCTGGTTTATCTTCAGTACAACTTTTGTCAACTTACAATTTTAAGGCATCAAGAAAGCATATTTTTAAGTTGAAGTGCCTTAATATTTGTTGCAGTAATGTACTGAAATATTTCAAAAGAAACAACTTGATTATAATTACTTACCGATTTCTTTGAAATGTTTTAGCTGTTCCTTTGCCCTTCTGTTTGGTTTTTACGCTGCTGTATTGATACTTGTGTTCCGTCCTCTTTCACAATTAAAAACACAGGAAACTAAAGTTAGAGCGTTGTATGTGAAGTGGTGTTTTAGCCGTTGTTGTTGTGTTGTCACTTGTAATAAGTAAATTGCAGAGTTTCTAGCTGAGTCCATATACTGTACCACTATGTATTTTTGCATTGTATACATGTGTATTTTTTTATTTTCGTGTGTATTTAGCAACATTTAGCTGAGCTAATGGTTTGCTATAATGCTTGTGAATCAATAAAATGAGCAATACTGATATTGCTGAAACTGTTTTCTCAAATTGTCACTCTACGCTCTGACAATACAGGCCACTCCATCGACCATCATTTCACTTTTATCCAACTTTTGATTGACACGAAAAGCAAACAGCACAACAAGACGAGTTAAGGGTTTGAACCCGGCAGCTGGCTGGGGCATTTCTGTGTGGAGTTTGCACGTTCTCCCTGTGTCAGCGAGGGTTTTCTCTGGGTTCCCCAGCTCCCTCCCACAGACCAAAGACATACAGGTTAGGTTAATTGCTGACTCTAATGACAAGAGGGCTCCTGGTTCAAATCTGGGGTGGGGGGTCAAACCAGGTGTGGGAGTGTGCGGAGTTTGTATGTTCTTCCCATGTCTGGGTGCTCTGGCTTCCTCCTACAATCCAAAGACATGCAGGCTAGGTTAACTGGTGACTCTAAATTATCCATAGGTGTGAATGTGAGCATGAATGGTTGTCTGGCATCCCTGTGTACCCCGCCTCTTGCCCAGTGTCAGCTGGGATAGGCTCCAGTCCCAAATCTCAGTCAACTTAAGAATAGTGTTAGAAAATACATTTTTCTATACTTTTTGTCAGTATTTTAAGGAGAAAACAGTTTTTAGAACTAATATTGGTCCATATATATGCTTCAATAATTCATATTTTGCCCGTATCAAAGCAAAATTAACAGACTGCCATTTTTAGAAGACATAAAAACAAGAATTTCCATAATTTATGCCAAATAATGTAAAGAATTAATAATGCATGTGACATGTACAGACATATTTTCCACAAAGCCTAGTACAAACCACAGCAAAGGTAAATCTATGTCTTCAAGGACCTGATTCAATTAATTATAATCTATCAGCCAATTTACACAGTGGTAAATTAGTAAGCAGAGGAAATGTTTTTTTTTCCCAACAAAAAATGGATCTGGACTGGATTTCAATCCAAAAACCTGCAATAATACAGCATTTCAGCCTTTCAAGCTTTTGCACTGATTTGGTTATTAATATTTGTTTATTTAAAACCGATAAATGGCCTCAATGGGCTGTGGTTGACTGAATGTCAAAGCAAGTCCCTGCACTGGGTTTCCACTAAGATCTGTTTATCTGAAACAGAAATATGTGAGGAATACTACTGTTAATGGCTCCTAGCATGAGAAAACACGATACCCTGCTTTGTTTTCGTCCAAGACATGACAGTTGTTACAAGCAATAACCGCTGGGTGGCAGCAGCTCACCTTACTGCGTCTACTTACATGTATGTCGAGGATACATCGAAGAAGAAGAGGAGGAACCGTCTCCGCTGCAGCAGCAACTGAAAAGGAAGACGAAGAAGAAGAAGGACGTTCTCCTCCATTTGTCATCAGTTCGTCGGTTGAACGCATCGACGAACTGTGCGATAAACCTCTGTGATATTAACTGAGCTCGAAGAACAAGCAAGGTAGGTGTAGAGAAACAGTATAACAATAAAGGTAATGATAATGAAATAAACGTTAGCGCTACAGTCAGTGAAGTGTTGTGTGTTTCAAGGATGCTGCTCAGCTGCAGGCTAATCATGCTAGCCAAGCTAGCTCCAGCAGCGTCACTCTGTGAATGGTCTTCTGCGGTTGGTTAACGTTTATCAGTCTTTTGCTTGCTAATTTTCTCACGCTGACATTATCATGACAATACAGTCGTTTCCATGTACTTACGTGTTTATTGGAGTAACTCGCAGTCATTTTCACCTGCGCCATTTGTTTATGTTGTGGCGTACATTTGGGAGGCCTAGTGAAAGCTGCAAGTAGCGGGCTACTCCTCTGTGGGCCAACATTAGCAATCACACCACCCAGTTTCTCTAGCCCCAGGTTTGACGTATGCAGCCATCTTTTAAATTTCTTCACTGTAGCACCGAAATGAAACTCTCACCAGCATTAAAACAATCACTTTCTTAATACATGTTTTCAATACAGCCGTAGTTTTGTCATCCTGATTGTCTGTGTTGTGATTTTACGTTGTTGTATTCTGTCACGTCACACACGACAGCATTGGGTGTGTGTTCGGCCTGGGAGATTGATCCCTATTTTGTTGCTCTTCCTGAGGTTTCTTCCATTTCCTCCTGCTGTGTTTTTTAATTGATGGTGGAGCTTATTATTATTTGGTTGTTGGGTGTCCTATGTTGAACAGAAAAGACCCAGTTTGGTGTTTGTGATATTTTGCTACATCATTATAAGAAAATTGGGTTGAGTCTTACGTGGCCATGCGCTCAGATATTTCTTATCACTCTAATTTAAGGTTGTGCAGCCAAAGTCTATCTCTTATCACTTTTATTATGGTGGATATACCTGCCACTGCAAAGTCAATAGCATTGCATTCATCTACCCCCATGAAATGATGCAAACATTTAACTGTGCTTTCAGATAAGATACTGACTACAATCATGTGGGATGGACCAGGGCCAGGGCAAGGACCACGAGGAGGACCCTTTCGGTAAACAAGCATCATTCAGTCATAGGCAGTCATTTAAAACAAAATTCAATTTGGCAGTAAGGAAGAAACATACATTCTGTAGTAACTGCAGTTTTGTGTTTGCTTGCACTCCTGTTTGCTAGCGTGGTGCAATATGGTTAAAATCTGGCATCACAGTATATGTAATTCCACAATATGATGTGATAATATTGTACTCCTGGTGCTAATTTTTTCAAACCATTGAAACACATATGTGCACACATTAAGAGTATATGTAAGAATATTATAACATTTTCTCACAAGTCTGCATTTGACGGCTCCTCCTCTTTTTCCACTGACTTTCCCCACTGAAGATTAATAGTGGTGTTTCTTCTCTTTCTCTGCTTATGACCTTATCTCTGATGACAAACAAATTTCTTTAGTCTCACAGTATCTATTACCCGATTGTCCACCCCTCCTGTGTCATTATGGTGACTGGTTGGGCAATTTTAAAAATGAACTTGATGTTTTTTCCCTCTGTGTTATTTTGTTGTAATGTTTTGTGCATTTTAAATAAATCAGCAGCCTAATGTGTTGATGTATATATTTCAGTGGTGATCATCGTGGAGAAATGTTTGGCGGCAGAGATCGTCCAATGCATGAATATAGAGGTGGCAGAGATGGGATGAACATGGGTCCAATGGGTCATATGGGCCCAAGACCTCTAGATATGCCACCTATGGACATGAGAAGGATGGATGGGCCACCCATGAGGGGGCGTGACATGGACCCACGTGATATGCGAGGTAGAGAGCCGAGAGATTTTTGCCGACCTGGAGAAGAGCAAGACTTCAGTCTTAGAAGGCACTATGAAATTTCCATCAGAGACAAACTGATGAATGCCTCTGGTTTCCCGGGACCAGGCAGGAACTCAGCTGACATGGGGGGGAGGGGTATGCCACCTCGGGAACCAAACAGCAGGTTTATGGACATGAGAGACAGAGAGTCATTTCATCATGACATGCCACCATACAACAATCCCAATTTTGATGGAAGAAGAGAGTTTCCCATGGACAGAATGGAGCGAAATGATGGATTCAGGGACATGCGTGACAGGCCCCCGATGGGCATGGATGACCATGATGGCTATGATATGGACTTACCTCCACGTGACAGGAGACTGATGGACACTGACAGAAGAGGAGGGCCACCTTTCAATCCAAGAGGTGGATTTGATTCTGACATGGATTTCAGAAATCGTCTTGGCCCATCAGCTGAATTTAGAGGTAGGGATCGATCTCCCTTAAGATTTGGAAACAGTGATGTTCCACCGATGGACAGGGCAAGATCAGATATGCCCCCAGATGTTGCAGGCCCTCAAAGATCAGAATTTATGGGTCCAGCAGACACACTCAGAGAGAGAGAATACCCAGATTCAAGTGGCAGCCCCCTTATGGATTATCGAAGTGGTGAAGAGATGACTCTTGCAGAGGAATGGAAGAACCGTCGAAAGGACAAGACCCCATACTTAGAAATGGGTAAAGGCATGGGAGGTGTACCCAAACCTAACTTCCCTGTGGAATTTGGCAGAGATGTGAATGTTAGAGATCCACCACCATTTCAGGAAAGGGACAGACCACCTGTTGAATTCCCAGGGAAAGATGTTGGCTTTCCTCATGGTGACCACTTTCCTGCTATGAATCTACCACCAATTGCCAGCAAAGCTCAACAAGACCATCCACACTCGGATATAACTCCCCTCACTGGCCCTCTAGGAAGAGAAAATGAGAGTAAACATTGGCTTGGAGAAAGGAATCCGAAGCATAGTCAAAATAAATCAAATCGTGATGAAAGGCCCCCTTACCATCAAGAGAAGAATCAGCCCTCACATGAGATTCAGGAGCCAAATGATAGTTTTAAGGGGTTGAAAGATATTGCACACAATCAAGGACCTAGCAGGGCTAAGATGGGGCCAGAACGCGATTTCCAAAGCAGCAGCACTGTGCAGGCGAGAGACCAAGACTACAGGGACATTGATTACAGAACAGGATCCGGGAGGCCTTTTGATTACAAGCGGGATGAACTTCAACCACCAGAGAAACTCATCAGAGAGTCTAAACCAATCACACCTTCAAAGTTTAGTGAGTCTGGTTCTCAGGTAGGTGTATTTCTTATTTAGTAGCTAGTATGTGTTTATGAATTATATCTGCATTTATTACAATATTTTAATGTTTCATAACCAACATTTTAATCAAATTACTGTCAAAGGATCAAGATTACAGGAATGCATCAGTGGAGGACAAAGTTTCCAACACAATATCCATAATTGGTATTCCAAAGACCGCTACAATGGAGCAGGTAATAATCAAACAAAAAAGCACCTTTATGTGCTTATTGTTATCACCATGGTTACTAGGCTGTGTCTGTATTAGTTTGCGTAGTTGACTCATTTGTTTTTAACACTGTTTTGCAGATTCTTGGTGCCTTTGCAGTCCGTGATGGCGTGCCAATGCAGGGGATGAAAATCAAAAATGTTGTGCCAGGTAAGAATTCAGTTTCTTTATGGAGCTGTTTGGGGCAGTCGATCGCTAACGTGTCCCTCGACATTTCGCTTTTACGACATTCGAAACTCTCGACATTCTTTCTTTTTCACGTTGTTGGTTGCTTTTGTTGTTGGTGGTCTGTGTGAACTCGCTCAGTAAAGAAGGAAAAGGGGTGGGGGGAGGGCGTTCTGTTATGCCATTCTTTTTCATGTCTGAGGATGTCGGGTCATTGTCACAATTAAGAGGACTTACTAGAGATTCAACTTTAGGAGCTTTGGACAGTGTCAGTCACAAAAGATCTGTGATCGATGACTCTCTGAATGTGTCACTGTGGCTCGTTATTGAAGTACTGACAAAAGAATGTCAACAAACCTGAAATGGAGACTGGCTTGTTAGTGCTTTGTACATCCCGCTGATCCAAACATCTGCTTTAGAGTCTTTTCCACAGTGGATCGCTGTAGACACGGTTATTGATGATGCCAAGCCTTTTTGTGAAGAATATTTTGTCTCAAAGACTGTTAATTTTGCATAAATCATTGAAATGTACACCAAAGAGAGATATTGGGTGCCTTTTTTAAATTTTATATAAACATGACTGGTCTCCATGGCGCACACCACACAGTCGTTCACTGCCACTGGTTTGGAATATCTGCCAGGAAAGGCTTTGATAAAGCCAAGCCTAAACAGGCAAAGTCTGATCTGACATCAATCATCAGAAGACTGAATAGAGAAAAAAAAGCATAAACAAAACGTGTGTTATCCTGAAAAGGTATGTGTGTCAGTAAAGGTGTAAAACTTCGCTCACACTGATCTCGATGTATTCACGAACTGCTGTCTTTTATGTTTTAGTGGGTGACTGTCATTACTGGCATTGACTAACAAAAACCCATCTGTATTTCAAATGCTGTCCCCAGGTTACAGCTACGATACGGCCTATGTGGAGTTTTTAAACCTCGAGGATGCAGTCCGCTTCATGGAGTCCAACAAGGTGGCCCATCCTCGTCACTCTACGAAGGCCGTCTCTCCCATCAGGATTATGAGGGGTTGAGAGGGCATTTAGTAGAAGGGGGAGGGAGACACCCTGGGAAGGGGTTGCTTTTACTTTTTAGTCAGCTTACTCTGGTTAAGGAGATGAGTATGTCAGCTGTTGACATTCTTAGATATTAAAATTTAAAACCTGAACAGTTGGTCCTATTTTACATAAATTAAATCTGAAGTACTTACCCGTAATAGCCATAATAGCTCCTCAGGTTAGACTACTTGAGTAGCACTAAACAGTTTTAGAAAATATATGTAATCATTTTCAAATGAGCATGTGCATATACATACATACAGTAGGTTTCTCCCCCAGTGTTAAGTTGCCCTACAAATCATAAATCTTCAAATGTCAACCCCACTGCCTAACCCGAGAATGGTTTTACCCGGAAATTACAGATGTTTGGGGGAAGAAATCTGTCCTTCCTTGGGCTCGAGAGGTTATATAATATTAATTTTATAATAATTTTAGGAAGACTTGATAATATCAACAATGAAGGTACTGTACGAAGCCACCATGTCCCTGTGTTGTGATTTAACTTTTATGACAGGAAGGGTAAAAGGAACTTGTTTTCGGCTTACAAAACATGGAAGTCTTTCTGTGTTAGAAAATACTGGTTTCCTCTTTGCTTTGCACAACCTTCGAAGAGGTTACTATCGTCAAGGAAGCAACTGCACATTTGAATACTTTCCTTAGCGACGCCTTAGCGGACGTTCAGATGGAAAACAGTCCTGCATTAGAACTATGCAAGGGGTTAGTTGTTGTTGTGGGGGGGGCAAGTATTTTATCTTTACCAGTGAGGAGAGCAATGTAAACAGTAGAAATAGTGTGTTGTGTTCTAAATCTGACACGAATGCGTATGTAACGGAATTGCCACTGCAGCACCTTGCCAGAGGATGTCGCATTGTGGTCCAACAGAAGTTGAGCCAGGTTAAACTTTTTTGCCTGACACCCCCTGCATTTTTTTTCTGGGTTAGAGCAGGACGGGCATTGCGTTGGCTACCCTGCTGTGTTGCTGGACTGGCCACATTTAATAATTGAGAAGGTCTGATTTTTTCACAGGGCGAAAGTCTGTCTGGACACGACCTCATTAGTGAGAACCGTGCAGCTACAGTTTAACTGTTTGCACATAGTACACATTTTGCTAACTTACTTGCAGGCAAGTAAGATTAAAAGTAACCTTTTAAGAATATTTTTTCCAATAGGAATTTTAGGACAGGTAAATCATTGTAGTGATTATATTTTTGTTCTAATTTTCTCAGTCATGTATGCGTCTGCATTGCTTCAGGTCTTTTATTTATTTTTTTTTAAGCTATGCTAGCTAGCATGGCTAGCATAGCATGGCTCTGTGGATGACATTATCCAGTGTGATCGATTATTCGATTGGTCTATTAGTCGGCTGATCGACCACTTAGGTGCAGACTGAAACATCTCAACAGCATTGCAGTGAAATTTTGTACAGATAATTGTGGTCCCCAGAGGATGAACCCTACTGATTTTGGTGATCCCCTGACCTTTCTTCTGGTGCTCTTGTGAGGTTGACATTTTTGACTTCCAGAGGACTAAGCTTTACAACTTTTGGTTATCCCTTTGACTTATCCAGTGAAGTATCTACATCTACGAGATGGATTGGCACAAATTCTCATACCCATGCTTCCCAGAGGATGAATCCTACAAACCTTGGTTATCCCTGACACTTCCTCTAGCACCACCATGAGGTTGAATTTGTGGGTCAGAGAGAAATTTCTCAACAGTTGAATGGATAATCCTTCATTTTGACACAGACATATGTTGTCATTGTGCACTTTGGTGACTGACTTTGCATCAAGGACCACAACCAAGTCGGAATTTTGATTTGCCAAATACTTTGTTTTTTTTGTGTAACAGTTCATCTATTTAACAGTTTGGTTTTCTTCACAATGAGCATAACAGCCTTACCCCCTAATTGTTGGTGTGCCTGCAGACTCTTAGTCTCGTTGTCTTCTGGTCTCTGCGGCAGTCACTCTGTGGCAAAAATCTTTCACCAGTTTAAGGCCTTTTCAGTCTTCTGTGACTTTCCTGAAGAGTCCATGCCCTTTGTGGTAACCTCTTGAACTCATCGACAGTGAACTTTGGGCACCAGGGTTTCTACTTTCTGTGCATTGCTTTGAGCAATTTCTGAATGAGGTTCAGGACTTGACACAATGAATGGCGTATTCATCACTGGGCAGGAGTGATGTGCTTTGATTATGTGGGTAAAACTATGGAGTAGCCCATCAGCTGGGGGTAGTGCTATTGCTACTATTGGAAGGTTTGGTTGCTTTTGGCCAATGCTCTGCAGCTTGCTGTATCTCAGGATCAATACTAAAGGATGCAGGTAGTTATGTGGTCAGTAATTTTGATATCAAAGATTCAAATCACTGCTTAGAAGCTATTGGTGCGATTCCCTGGTTGGCGTGGATCGGCCCTGATTGGATTTTAATTTCCGGATACAAGGCGCAGTGGCACTGAGTCCTGGCTGATACAGAGAGTAAAACAGAATGTTGAGCTCATGTCTTCAGGATGGTCCTACCAGGCTACTACAATATGACCTAATGTGTGGTTTTAATGGTCACTTCTATGGTCTCGAATTAAGCACTGTGGATTTATATGCAGCTTTAAGATGCACAACCTACATCAGAATAATGGGCGTTTAACACAGTGCTACCATTTTGCAGAGTACATTTATACATGCCACAAGCTTGCCTTTGAAACAGCTTATTTCTTGTTCTAATGGAGTCTGGTCTTAGAAATGTGGTATTTGTGGTGGCATACAGGTAGTTTGGTTTGCAGACTTTACCTTCTGAGAGCATGGTTTTTGTTTGCCTCTACGAGTTTTCTCTTTGACTATGCCGTGGACAAGTATCAACTCCTTCAAGCAAAAGTGCCAAACCTGGTTCCTGCTTTTAAGTTGTGCGGATTCGCTGCTTTTGTTTGGGTTTTGTGGTCATGAACTGCATATCTTTGCAATTTGAAGATGTCTCTGGGTCTTCGGAAACTGTTACAGCCACTTTAACCTTTTTTTTTTCTGGACCAAATGATAACTTGATTAACTGTTAGAATAATCGACAGATTACTCGATACTGAAAATATTTAAGTTGCAACCCTAGTTTGTACTTTCAAACTTAAAACTATTTAGCATAGTATCTGGGCAAGCTGCCCGTGTGAAGCATGATCCTCGATCTGGGCTTTGCTCACCACCATAAGTGTTCGACCGTTTTATCCTCGGCAGTGAAGAGGAGGGCTAAACCTGCCACAGTGCATGTTGGGTGTCATTGGTTTTATTTAAAGATATAAGTCACCTATGTCATGTGATGCTGATTGGTCATTTCTGTTCTTCTTTCAGGGATCCCTAAAGGTTGGCACTAGAACCACATCCATGAAGTACATTCAGCCAGACGAGTGTGAAAGAAGTGTTCATGTGAGTGTGGTGACAGGAAATTATTTTGTTGGTGTTTTTTTATAGTTTGTCAGAAATACAAAAAGTCAGTATTTGATTAACGGTTGGGTCACAACAGAATTACCTGTATTTTAGCATTTCTCATGGTAAATGTGGCATAATTTCCACAGTGTTATTCCACTATAACTAAATAGGCATACCATAATAATTCTGTTGCTCTGAGTTTTCCCCTTCAACAGAAATAGTAGTATGTGTCATTGATTCTTTGTAGGCATTTTTGGATTGTTTCCAAGAGTAATTGTTGTGTTTGTTTTACAGTAAACAGCGGTTTATGATACACAGTAGCACTTCATCATATTGTTTTACTGTACCACAGTTGAACAGTATCCAAATGTCCTTTCTTCCTGTTTCCAGGAATCAGATCACAAAGTACCTCAACTCCAGGAGCCCCAGTTGCCCAGACAAGATGAGCCCTTAGAGGAGTTGAAGACCAACCTGAATGGGTCCAAAGCAAAAGGCCCTTTGGAGCCATTGTCACAAAACCAGTGGCAGCGTAGCTCTGACCTGACTCCCGAGGCCTGGCAGCAGCAAGTGGACCAACAGCTCCAACAGCAAGAAACAGAGCAGCAGGCAGAGTCTTGGGGCAACCGCAACCATCCCCCATCCCGGCTCTGGGTTCCCGGCTACTCAGTCTTTAAAGACAGCAAAAGTATGTTAACTCAAGCTCCTGGGTCTTCTCTTAAGCTTGTAGCCATACAACGGAGCAATCCATTGACGCATTTGTTATGTGCAGTTGTAATTCATAACCAAGTTGAGTAAACAACACTTTTCCCTCGTGTCACTGTACAGCCATGATCATAAAAAATGTGAAGCCCACCACCACAGTAGAAACTATCCTGAAAGCCTTGGATCCCTTTGCATATCTGGATGAAAGAAATGTTCGTCTGGTCAAGGCCAAGCCACCAGGAGTCAAGTGCTTCTGCTTTGTTGATATGGACTCCCATGAGGTACCTAAAATATGAACGCACTCAGAGTTTGTGATTGCAGCTTGGTCCAGTGTTTCCCCAGCACTTACCACTGTGTCTTCTTTTGTAGCAAGTGACACGCCTGGTTGAACTCCTTACTAAACCCAGACGGCTTTATATTGATGGTGTCACAGTTTATGCTGAGGTCGCAAGACCTTTGAAGAACCAAAAGTAAGTCACTATTTTTTCACGATTTTCTGATCAGCTATGTCTAGTCTCATCTCATTTGTTCATGATGAGTTTCTGTCTGTTTCAGTTTCAAAAAAGACGGTGATAAACCAAACACTTCCATACTTGGATTTCCACCTGAGCCCAGCATGATCGGGGTAAGTTGTGGTCTTAATTGTGTTCTTTTTGTTTTTACAAAATTATTAAAAACAAGAGAATGACTTGTCCCCCCACCCCCGGCACTTCACCAGCAGCAGCAGTTCCCACAACCTCCACAGTTCTTGCAGCCTCTGCAGCCACCCACTGGTGCCCCCGCTATAATGCAAGGTGGGACTACAGCACACATTCTGGTGTCTTGATCCCTAGGCACTGTTTATTATTACCAAATGTGAACATAAAACTTTCCTAAATAGTCTCACATTTTGTCACCAGGTGATTTGACGACAGGCAGCTCTAATCCCGCTCTGTCATCAGACCACAGCATCGCACAGGTAAATTACAAAGCAAAGAGAAAAGCTTTTTAGACTGGTACCATGTCTAAGAGCTGGAGAGTAAACTGTACACCTCCTTTAACACCTTGTAGGGAGTTGGCTATGGTGAGACTCCAGTTTTGGATCCGTCGTACCAGGCTGGTGGACCCCACATGCCAACAGAATCAGCTGGGATAACAGTAGCCGCAGATGGATCACAGCCCTACGTCTATGGTAACCATCAAATTAAGCATTCAAATTCATGAGAGTATTAATTACGGATGCACAGATTTAGAAATTCTGGGTCAATACCGATGTTTAAAATATCATTTGGGCCGATACTGATGTTTGTGTATTGTTGTGTTGTTTTTTTGTTATTTATTTCTGCTTTTGTGTCAGGTAAACAAAGAAATCTACATTATAAAAAATAACTGAGCTGTTTTAAAGTACTTATGCCCTTCATTACTTTCCCTTTACATGAGGACAAATTCAACCATACACATTTATGAAACCTTTAATATAATCTTTCAACTGAAAAACATCTTTTCATAAAGTAACTGCTTCAAAAGCCTTTTTACTCCAGAGCCCATTTACAGTCATTGTGTTCTTTCTCTACCTGCTCATTAATTTAAGTTTGCGGCCATTAATCTCAAGCCCAGATTTTTATCCTGTGCAAAATTGATGTGGCACAACAGCAAAATATCAGCCAATTAATCGGTGCATCCCTACTATTAATCATCTTTTGTCTGTATTGTTAGAACATCGTAGTAAACTACTTCAGTGCAGCTGTGATGCAATTTTACCAATAATAAATTTTCGCCAAGACTCTTTGATCTTCTCTGGCTTGGGTTGTGCCTCATTTGTGCATTGCTTTGGACAAAAGTGTGTGCGGAATGCGAAAATGTTATGTATTTGTCTATTTGTCCTAATTCCTCCAGGCTCTGAGATTCCAGACATCAGTAACTACTTATACGATTCCACATCAGGCTTCTACTACGATCCTGAGACGACCCTGTACTACGACCCCAACTCCAGGGTGAGCATACAAGACAACACAGTGATCAGTGGCTCACAGTGTGAAGGACTGAAATGTTTACCTCATCACATAACCTAATCAATGAGCCACTATTTTATGATAATAGTCTGAACTTTGAGTTATTCCTGTTACAAGAGGACACTGAATGCAGTTTCAGCTACATATGCACTCATTATTCAGCCTGTAGCCACCATAAATGTTTCTTAAATGGTTGTCATTAAGTTGTCATGTAATTTCTCCCTTTTCCCCCTCAATGTCTTGTGTGTAGTATTTCTACAACGCTCAGACACAAGAGTACCTGTACTGGGATGCTACATCAAAGACCTACATCCCAGTTCCAGGAGGGAACCCTGCAGTGACCCAACCTATGACTGCTGAAGACCAGGCCATTCTTTCCAACCCAGCAGCAGATGCTCCTCTGGAAATGAAGAAGGCATCAGTGCCTCCCAACACCGCAGCAGCTCCAGCAGCAGACGCCACTTCTGATGCCGCCACTGCTGCGGAACCTGTCACAACGTCTTCAGCAGCTCCTGAGAGGAAAGACGACGACGACTCTGCTAAAAGGGACAAAGAGAAGGATAACAAAGATGAGAAGCCAAGAAGTCTTGCTGCTGTCAAGGTAGCATTTCAGTTACAATAACGGTGCACAAAAAGTGAAACAGAGTTGTGTCAAGGGAAGAGTGTTTAGACATTTGTTGCTGTTTGTAGATCATGAAAGACATGGAGCGCTGGGCAAAGATCCAGAATCGTCAGAAGGAGAGTGTCCGCTCTGCATCGCCACTACTGAAGACTGGAGGGGACGATGATAGGAGGCAATCCAAGTCAGCTGATGCTGGTTTTGCTATCTTTGAGAGGAAGGTTAGAGCCTCACCTTTTAACATCTATTCTGTTTAAAGGTTTTTACAATGAATGTAGATATAAGAAGTATTCTTTTATTACATTGAGTAATTATTTTTGGCCCTGTCCTTTGTCTACATCCATAGATATCAGGTGCAGATGATCTTTTTAAGAAGCCCTTTGCTCCTCCTAAGAAAGATGAAAAGTCAAAGGTAAGATTCCTCATGTTCAGCCTATTTTGTGACCTCATCATGTGCCTCATACTTGACCCACTTCGTGAAATTCCTTCAAAGGGCTGGGTTTCAGAAATGCAAAAAGTGCATAGACCAGTTTTGTTTGTTTTGTTTTTTACATGATTGAGAAATTGCTAGGGTTGTTTTTAACATGTTTTGCTTCCCCCAGCGTCCGATGGGCTCCCTGGGTCTGCTGGCGTCAGACTATGCAGCTGGAAGTGATGAAGAGGTGGAAGAAGATAAGGAAGAGGCAGCTAAAAGCAGTCAGGGCAGCCAGTCGGAAGACAAAGACAACAAGCTGACAGACTGGAAAAAGATGGCCTGCCTGCTGTGTAGGAGACAGTTCCCCAACAAGGACGCTCTGATCCGCCACCAGCAGCTTTCTGACCTGCACAAGGTACTACCTGTTAACCTCTCTATGAACTAAAGTTGACAGTGACCTCATAAATATAGCCTCTAATACTTCATGTAATATATATCAACAGCAAAATATGGAGATCCACCTTAAGATCAAGAGGTCAAAGAAGGAGCTAGAGGCACTAGAGAACCAGGAAAAAGAAGTAAGTGTCAATAAATAGGGTGGGGAGAATCCGCTGAGTGTCAGGTTGTCATATGATTACTTAAGATGGAATGTGTCATTCACAGCTAAGTGCCAGAGAACCTTCCAGGTCACCTGAACAGAAAAGAAGAAAACACCACCAACAGCCGCAGCATCATAACACATGGGCTGGAAGCTCTAGGTAGGTGTGCTTTAAAGGGTAACCTCTGTATTTTCAATGTCGACCCTGTTTTTCTATGTGTTTGTGTCTAAGTGACTAATGGAGACAGCAGTTTTTGAAATGGTCCAGTGTTGAGTGAGAGCTATGAAACAAGCTGCACTGCCAATATTTTACCATTGACAGGCTCTGATTATTGTTCTAAGGGTATGACAGCATTGTGGAAAGCATCCCTACAGAGACAGACGTTTTTGTTTGTAGCCCCGAAATCGCCATTGTCAATCCCACCAGACTCCATTTAGATAAACAGTTATTTTATGATCTTGAAACCCACCTCATTCAAAGTCGACAGACACCAAACAAAACTCACAAAAGCTGTCTTGGTTCGCCTTTCCACTCTTCCAACTATCACCCACTCTATTGCAGTTAAAATAAACCCTTAATTCACCCAGTTAGAGGTGGAAATATGCTGACTCCATACAGGCTAAAATCACTGTTTATTTAAATGGAGTCTGGTGGGTTTGGCGATGGCAATTTCAGGGCTGTTTTTTGGTCAACAAAAACAATCTTACTCTTCAACGAAAAGGTCTGTGTCTGCAGGGATTCATAACAATATATTGACAGACACTGAATAGCAATCTGAACCTGTCAGTGGCAAAAACAAGCGCTGTAATTGGATGTAGCTCAATACTGGACTAATCTCAAAAATTGTTCCCATCAGTCACTCAGACACAAATCATGAAATTACCATTTAACACACTTCGTTATTGAACTGGAAAACAAAGCATTTAAGTGATTTAACAACAGACATTTTTGCCTTAACTGTTTTCTCTCTCTGCTTAGGGAGATGAATAAAGTCAGTGATAGACCTGGTTTAGGAGCTGAACCTGCCCCGGTAGGTGTGAAGCTTTACGTCATTGCTAAATTCCATGTGCTGTTTGTTGCTGGTTTATTGAACCTTTCTTTGCACTTCTCTCTGTAGCCGAGGAAAAAGAGAGAGCCTGTCGTTTGGGACCACGCCACCTACAAACAAGCAGTACGCAAGGCCATGTTTGCACGGTTCAAGGAACTCGAGTGATCTCATCTGAACACATCCTCGCTTTGATATGTGAATTGTTAATATGACATGCTTGCCCACTTTAGCATGAGGAATCCCTTTGACTGTATTTACTCTGCCTTGGACGTTATTACACTATAGAACCACAGTTTTTCTACGCTGAAATGAAAAATCATGTGGTGTATAAACACACATTGCAAGGCTGCAGTCAGAAAAACAAGAATTACTTGACTTCCCAAACAGTGGATGTTGTATAGAAAGTGTTTATAATTCATGCCATTGATTTAAAGTACTTTTGTTCATGTTTTATGTCTGGCTTGTGTGTAGAATTGTGAAATGTGTCCAGGTAGTCTTTTTTTAAATGATACTGTCACACTGGCCACGTTTACATTTTGTTTTAAAACTAAGCATTTTTACATTTTCATTTTCATGGATCGGAGTTGCTATTGTATGTACACATTTTACAGTAAAAAGAAAAAGTCAGTGACAAAGCTTTGTGTCTATAAAATGTTTGTTTTACTTGTGTTTGAATTGTCAGATCTGCTTAGTGTGAGCTGTCCCCTGTTGTATGTGCATCTAATGTCCACTAGGTGGCAGCAAGAGACCATGTCCTGCTTTGTGTTGCGTGGAAGTGTCTGAGGAAAAATGCTGGATCAAATTTATTAGTATTTAGTATCAGTATTTTACCAAGTTAAGAAAAAATGGATGACTAAGTGGATGTTTATGCAGTCAGGATTTTGTCCAGTGGACTCCACTAAAGACAGGCCTTACTTAGTTTAAGCATTTGCTGCCTTTGACGTGATTGCAGGTCTTAGTGGATGCAGGTTTAATGTTCCCCAGTTGTGCACTGAAAGACTTAGAACATGAAGCCTCCCCTCTGACCTTTACTGATATGAAGGAACCAGCCCTCGCCCTCCCCGTGGCAGTGGTTCAATGAATGTAGAGGATTGCGTGGGTTTAGTGTGCTGACATACTAGCTCCTCTGAGAGCAGTAACAAGAACACTGGGGAGCCCAAGGAGCTGCAGTCAATGACAAACAGCAAAAACACTCAAACACTGTGGAGAACAGGGAGCCAACACCTTTTCATCTGTGCAGGAGCAACTGTCTCCTATTGTGTGTTTGCTTTTGGACAGCAACCTAATGAGGAAATTGAAGCCTGATAGGTCAGCCAACAGGTAGCTGGCATTTTACTGTCATACCCCCCCACAGCCTGGTCTCTCTCCAACCAGCTGTTGGTAATATAGCAGAGATGAACATTGTTCTTTCAGTGTGACTGAGAGTATATGGAGCCTCTCTGTCTGAGGATACAGAGAAACATCGTAACAAAGCTTCACAAGTTAGTGTAAACCATGTTTTGTGGCTTGACAACAAAACCACTGATTATCTGCAGGTTCAGATGTTTTTACAGTGAAACCCTGGCATGACTTGGCATTGCGTTTGCTTTGCAGTTGTAAAATCGACTTCAGGAACCCACATTTGTGTTAAAGTTGTAGTGTTTTAATCTCAACTCTGTTTAGTGGGGAACAGAAACAACTCTATAGTTTTAAGTAGAAAGTCATAAGGGCAACTAGAGGCAAAATGAGGTGCACAATAAAGATGCAGGTGAATTACCATCATGTTTGTACTCTGTGCCAATGTGGTTGAGCTGCATGTGTGTTCCAGAGGTGGCATGATAAGGCTTTACGGCTGAATGTTTGCTTGTGTTGTGCGCTTGTTGCACTGCATCAAGACTACGAAGGTTCAGAGGTCCTTTTATGGAATTTTGCCTAGTCATCAGTGCCTGTGCATCTAGACCACAGTGGCCTGCTCCAGGTTGACACCTGCAGCCTGTTGGATGGAAGATTAAACATCCAGCCAGCTGTTGTCAAGGTGGTCAGGATTCAAAGAGACCACCTCTCTTTATAATAAAACCTTTATCTGAATGACATTTTTTAAATTAGTTGGCAAGCTTTCAAACTCTGCATCACACTCTTCCCTCAGGAGGGGAGACATGATGATGTTTTGGGTTTAAACTTAATCTGTTCATGTGAAGTTCACATGTCTGTGCTTCTTACAAAGCCAACTGTTTTTGTATGTTTTTAATGTATCTTGTTTCCTAATATTATACTAGACCACCAGTCTGAAGATAGTCATTAACATGTCCCACAACCGTTACGACATTTTAACTTAATAATACTTTTTGCTCAGTTACAAGCTTCAGACCACACAGGTTATATCAAATGAACCACAGTTTTAATGTTTTAAAGATCCAGCATTTAGGATTTCATGGCACCCAGCAGTGAGGTTGCAGATCTGAAACTTCTCCTGTGTGTCAAGGGTGTAGGAGAATTACGGTGGCTGACATTAAAATAAGAATGGCTCCATCTAGAGCCAGTGTTTAGTTTGTCTTTTCTGGGCTACCTTCTAAACAACCTGGTGTACTTCATGGAAGAAATACCATGTCATATGTGGATATAAACGGCTCACTCTTAAGACCCGTTTCCACCAAACAATTTCAGTATGGTCCCTTTGGAGCCAAAAGTATCCCTTCAGACATGGTACCTAGACCACTAGTTCTGCTTAGTGTTTCTGCCTCAAACAGTACTCTTAAATGTGGGCGGGGTTGTTGTCACACACTGCTCCGTCCAGCACTGCCTGTATTTCCTTATTACTGGTGGCACAGATGAAACTCTGCACCTTGTTTATCGTCCACAGAATGTTGGACACTGAACAAAATAAAACAGGCTGCAGTGAGAGTCTCTCTCCATGGGGTTTTTAAAAATAGCAGGTTTGTGCAATTAGTCCTTCTAAGGCAAGCTCAGGGGTTTAGTGTTGCTGTAACAATAATAATAATAATAATAAATCAATTTTATATAGCGCCTTTCAAGAAACCCAAGGTCGCTTCACAATTGCAAACAACCACAAAATCACACAGACAACCACAAAATCACATGACATGAACAAACAGAAAACACAACTAGCTGGCGAAAGCCAGAAGGAAAAGGTGCCTCTTTAGCTGAGATTTAAAAGAGTCCAGAGTTGGTGCCTGGCGAATCTCCAGCGGAAGCGAGTTCCAGAGGGTGGGAGCTGCCACACTGAAAGCCCTGCTCCCAAAGGTTTGCCTTCTAGTACAAGGAATTGAAAGGAGGCCCAAGTCCGCAGCTGTAGCCCACAGGAATGATGCTCTGCAATGCTTTTTTGTCTCAGATTGTGGACTGGAATATATGCAGTTCACATAACCCGCCGAAATTAACTTCTATAAACACTTGAAGATCCACTCATTACTAAAAGTGTTGGACCATTACTTTAGTTTTCATATGACAAAGTTGTCACAGTGAAATTTAAGGTGTGCTGATTGTTTCACGTCATCAGCTCATGCACTGAGTAACATTCAAGTTAACGTTCCACCTTTAAAGTCACCAGCAGTCGGCCCAGTGAATTAAGTTATTTTTTCTCAGACTCCAGCTGCTGTGAGAGGCAGCAAAACATCCTTTCATTTTATAGTTACAGTTTACTGATGAAACTCTCCACAGTATGAACAGTGGTTACATGAGCCTCAAACCAGCCACAACTCAGCCCTGAGCAGAGTGGTCCGCTATTGACCATTCAACAGACTGCAGTGTTCACAGCTCCACCTTTTAGTACCAGATCTGTGTGCTAGGTACCCCAACAGAGGGGGGACCAAAAATGGGGATGGTACGCAACGGTTCCATTGGTACCATCCACAACTTTTCACAATGGAAACTGAACTGTACCATACTGTACTGCTCGGTGGAAACGAGGCTTACCAAACCCAACAATTCTTTTTTTTTTTTTTTTTTTTAATTCTTTCATAATTTAACATAAAAAAATTGCCTTCTCTGTTTGCATGAAAAAATGCAATTGAGCAGACTGTGCAATATTACAATGAATAGAGGGTCCACATGTGCGTCCATAAAGCAATACCATTACCTATTTCTCTTTGTAAACCTGGGTGGTCGGTCACTGTATTTCCATGTGTCCTTGAAATAATGGACTGCTTGAAATCCAAGGTTTGATCACATCTTTAGATGTTGCGAGGCCTTTAAATTGCTTCCATATTTGCAGTATTTTTTTCCCCTCGCTGTCTATCTTGCTAGTGGGTTGAAACGATCACATATTGTAGGTCAGTATATCCTGTGACATCAATCAAATGAATACATTTTCAGTGCAACAGATTTAGGCACACTATCTGCGTATTTGCATATAAATAGAATATTTATTACCGAGATTCACAAGGACTTATGGTTTCATGTACTTTATTGACATTGCTGTTCATGACCTGGACTATCAGTAGAATAAACTGTTTGATCATACAGAAGGATGAAATACACATTTCAGATTACAGCACAAACTGGCATTAAGTATTTGCTGATAAGGTTACAGATCCTATAGAATACAAGTGTGCAGCACAGTGTCAACAATATTAGTAGGTCTTTGCATTTTGATTTATGCAGACATCTCAAATAAAGCCACCGGGTGAGGGACTAGCTGGCATTTCCTTTTTCTCCCTAAATGGCAGACGGGGGGTATTTGGAGGAGGAATCTGCCTATTTTCTGTTATTTTATGTGTGGACTAATTTCCATTCCTCTTTTCTCCATTCTGTTACAAGACCCCAAAGCCCCCCCCCCCCCCAGCTCCCAGTGACAGATGTCGTCATTACCCAATCCTAACAGTCTATGCGATGAAAATTAATGTGCAGTTAGTCTGTGAGGATGAGAGGCCAAACACAGAGGTAGGGCACGGAGAGCTGCCGCGTTAGTATCCCCTGCATGTGTGAAGGAGAGCTTTCAGGCAGCGTGAATGTCAGAAAAAGGTGGACAGGGGGGCCAATTATCCCAGCTGGACAGCTCTTAGCAGCGGGCGGGTGGAGCTGGAGCAGCAGTCTGGGGACGAGACAGAAGATGAACACAGTCAGCAGGACTCTCAGATGTCGAGATGTGCTGTCAGACCACAGAGGCGAGAAGAGGAGGGAGAAACATTTGATTGCTTTTAATGGAGGTCTGACACCAAGCTGCTGCAGATGGACAAAGATGCACTATGAAAACACATAAAAAAATCTTATTAGACTTGTATATCTTTTGGAGCATCCATCCACATCAACACCGACGGACAGGCAGCTCACCAGACACCATCTAGTTTTTCCATTTTTTTCCCCTTTCCCCTTAAAGAAGCTGATTCCTGTATGAAATTAAATCCATGTAGTATTACAGATGAAGTGGATTAGTTTACAAAATGCCTACATGTTGGATGACTGTGTGGTTATCTCAAATCTCTTCTTTGTCCCTTGCGACAAATGATCAAAAAACACATCCCATGTAGAACGACTCCCTTAAGGAGTAGCATGTGTTTGTGGTCACCCCATGCAAACAAAAGAGACTATATACCATCGCTGGCTCGTAGGAAAAAATCATGCTTGTCTGAGCAATTTTCGCCATCTGGCTTATCCTTTCAAGTGCAAGTTGAAAAATGATGTCTGTTATTGATTGCTAA